TGTAGTATATATATATATATATATATATATATATATATATATATGTGTGTGTGTGTGTGTATATATAATATCGATACGTTATGCAGGTGCAATATACACGCGTATTATGCATGGACACGCCAACTTGGACAGGCGCGGTTTACGTAAGTGCATCTATACGCGCCGGCGCTGCGGCGATAATTTTATTCCACGGCCTGCGGCATATTATCGAAATAGGCGAAGTCGAACGGCAGAACGTGTAGTTTGAATGATTCACTAGCTGGCGCCATGATTCCGCTTTTTCGAGGCTAATTAATGGGAAGAATGTACGAGACGAGAAGATATGTGTTTAACTCGGCGGGACCAATAACAGCCGCACGCTTTGTTCGCGATAATTTTCTTGCGAGAGCGCTCGCTGTGTAATGTATGCAAAGTGCCTGGCCCCGTAGAATGGAAAGGATCGTAAGAAAATTTTTCAGATCCCAGGCTCCGCGCGTACTGTTCGATACCCGACGCGACAATAAATAAGAGACACGAAATGCACCGGACGATTGCAGCGCGTTGTTATAAAGGTGACTGCGCTTTTGTTGATTCTTCCACTATTAAAAAGTACAATAAAACTATCCCAGAATAGGATCAACAAGTTCGTCCGGAATATATTTTGTAACTCTGTAGGAAATTATATTTATAGAATAAGATTGCGAGCTGTATACTCATTAAAATAGGTATAAAATAAATCTTGCGTATTTATATTAATTTTGCTGTATAAACAGTACTTGCAGGCATTTTCTCGATTTGAAGACAATTGAAATCAATTTTTTTTTTTAATTCTTTGCAAACCAAATGATGAGTTAGATATTTTACTATTATTTATTACTTCGAATATTGATATCGCGCTTCGTGGCGCACACGTTGAGCCGGCACACGCGATCCAAAAAAGTAGACTCTTCGCTGCGCCATATGCGTGCTCCGTTCCATACGTGGCTTCCCATGAGCGTGAAGAAACAAATAGTCGAGGCCCGAGTAACCATTGCCGAAGTGCTCGGCAAATATTTAGACGGCAGCACTTTTCCGTTGTGGCCACTGATGTAACAGATTGAAATATTTGCGGCCGCAGCTTTGCGGTTCAGATAAACGTTTTGCGGTAACATCGACGGAGATAACCGCGAGCGAGCAACGCGTAAACAATGCAGCCGACAATGTGATGTAAGCGTAATGTTTGATTATATTGTACTCAAGTTCTCTTTACTTTAATTCCAATGGCATATCGCTGAACAAAATTAGAATTTGTAAAAAATATCATTATTTACTATAGTTTTTGATGTTTAAATATTAAATATTTTGACAATTATACAAGAATTAAACTTCTGGAAGATAAAAACTTGAGACTTGAATAACAATTATCATTGTGTAATTTTTAATCTATAACTGACGACTGTAAGCTGACACTTGGATGATTTAGTCAAGGAAAAATCTAAGCTATTTAAAGAATATGTCACAAAGATAAAAGTCGGAGATACGTTCTACAGATTTTCTGACTACGATGTTTCTTAATGGTACGACTATGTAATAATCTTCAACACAGACATCATCCTTGCAAGTTCCTTAGAAAATCGAGAAGAAAATCACGTCTGATTTAGCTCGTACCGTCAATTATCTCGCGCGGTAACGCGAGAAGATACATAGATGAAGGAAGACGCCGCTGAATAGAATATTCGCGTGTCAGGCGAAACGATCGATCGATCAATCGATTGCCGTAAGCGCGTCAGAGGCTGGGGAAAAAAATGCGACAAATCGATAAACGCGCGTAGTAAATCGGCGACACCTGTGAAGGTGTGGAAGGAAAATTACGGACCGTGCGATTATATCGCTTTATCGCTCCTTCGCCGGAGGAAATTAAGAAAAAACACTGTCGGCTGTCTTGTATCTCGCCACCATCGGCGCCGCCACCATCGGCGCCGCCGCCGTCGCCGCCGCCGCCACCGCCACCATCATCGGGAAAAGGGAGGAGAGTTCACCGAGAAGGTCAGGGTCCGATGAATTATATTGCCACGCTTCCACTTTTCCAAGCGACGGCGTAAACGATGAATCGCGCGCTCCGTTCCTTATTATTATCTGTCTAACGAAGAATCTAATATTCCAGCGTGTCAGATTGTACGCGTGCTCACGACAACATCCGGCGATCTAGAGCGGAAAGATATGAGATCAGTAGATCTCCTATCGATACTTCGCGCAGAAGTGCTTCAAAGAGATTCATTTTACAAGCGATTGATTCAACTTTTATGACAAAAAAATATTAATAATTTTTACGAACTTTATGTATGCCTTTTTTTTTGTTAATTTGGAGTTAATTTTTCTTTGTTAAAAATATATCGAAGCGTCATTAAAATTACAATGATGTTCTTTCAAAATTGACCGGAGAATTTTATCAGCTAAACGCAATTTTATCAACTAAAATTCTTTAGATTACTACAAGTATTTTCGTTCTGAAGGAGTAGTTTAAAGAAATTTGAAAAATTTGATGTAATAAAGTAAGCAGTAAAAAATCTAAAGAATCTGGAGAACAATGTTCTACCTAATAGCCAGTAGGTGTCTGATTTGAAAAAGAAATTTATGTGAGAATTATTATTAAGGACAGCATTCAAAGCCTAACGTGTCGTCTTTTGCGTTATGCCGCGAACACGCGAAGCTAATAGACAGGTAAGTCTAGTGGCGACGAGTTGCATGCTTGCCCCTTCTATTATTGTTGGTTGAAAAAGCCACTTGACTTTCCGCTAGCTAGCTTTGTATAAACGCGACATTGCTTGCAAACTCCACAGCTCGACATATAAAAGAAGGTTGCGGGCGAATTAGAAAGACGATCAAAGAGACAGATGAGAGTCCGAGGAACATACCTGAGAGGAAGTGCTGAAGAAGGTTTCGCATGTTACGTGTTTGTCACTCGACGCCACGAGAGAGATTTTCTTCTAACTCGCCGCTTCTGACAATCGCTATTCGTTCCTCGAACTGGCTTCGGATAAAGAGTATTGCACTCGATACATCGAATAAGTTTGGAAATAGTAAAAGCACAATAGAATATGAAAGAAGAGCTTGCCGTTTAGTTTGTCTCTATTAAATATCAGCAATTTTACAAATATTGAAGAAATAGTCGCTAGATTGAAAAATCGAAGTAAAACAAAATTTGAAGAACAAATTCAAGCTATATCACAGGATTATAGAGATATCTCGACTTTACCTTAAATCACTTTTAACCTAAATAAAAACGTAAAATAACGTTAGTGCAAAAGATCAAAAGTTGCTTATGGAATCTTTCGACTATTTGGAAAGTTTGTTTACGCAGATTCCCGATGAGTAGAAACTGATTATTTTCTGTGTTCTAAGATTAAGAAATAAATTGCGAATATAAAACTCCGGGATCAAAAAGTTCAAAGAGCTAAAAAAAATCGCAAACTCTCTAATTTCTATACATCTGTGTCTTTCAAAGTTTTACGTTTCGAATAAATGCTAAATTTTGTGTATGACATGTTCTATATTTATGCACAACATGTTCTATATTTATCATTTCACACACAATAATAAATTTCAATTGAAGAAAAAAAATATATATAAAATTTATAGAACCTTTATGCGAGAAAAAAAAGTATATGTAAAAAGTACAGTAACTTTTTCTAGACAGAATTAATTCCAATCCCAAATTTTGTACATGCACGTACATGTATATCGATAAAAGATTTTCTTTCTAATAAAAAATAATTATATAAAATCGTTCAAGAAGGATGATCGGTGGGAACTAATTTTTCTGGTAATTTTCTAACGCGACAAAAACGCGCAGTTTCTCACAACGTCGCCGTTTAAATTGAACTTTTAAATTTTTAAACGCGCAATAAAGCATTACTGCGATTCAATACTCTCGCGGGATAAGTGGCGCAATTTAAGGTCTTACAAATAAACGATTTTTGCCGGCGCAAAAAAAGGCAAATCTCGCGCGACGATGGCGAGCATCTTCGCCTATCGAGGCCTTTAAACGCTATTAAATTCCGTCCGAGAGTGAGCGAGCGTGCGAGCGGCCCTTCGGTCGCTCCGCTAGGACATTACGTGGAAACTCGCCTGCGGCTTTGCGCGATCGACCTTCCCGGAAGAACCTGGTGAGATCCGACAGACAGGACGGCTTCCTGCGATCTCCGCGCGGCATGAGAACGCGGCGGCCCAAGAAGCCGCACCGCGCGATTATGGATAGGATTCTTTTACGTCGCGGCATGCGTCCGCAATATGCGCCACATCGCCGCTCCACCGGCCTATCCAGATGGGTGGTTTTTTTTAAATGCGCACATGTAGAAAAACTGGTTCCGAATGAAGATGCATATTGTACGGGCCGCATAAAAGCAAAATCGAATACATGCGTCCGTCTATCGGAAAGTTAATCGATACACCAAATGGAAAAAAAGCGCTACATTGAGATATTTAGAAATTCCAAAATCCAAAATCACAACTTCTAATCTTTACCTGAAGTGCTGTCAAAATTCTAACAAAAATCTTAATACCCTAAAATATTTGTGTCCGGTGTAACAATGAATCATTGTATTGACGATTATCCCCAAAAATTTTAATGGAACATTCCGGAAACAGTTATCTCCTACGTATCTTTGGGTATAAACCTTTAAGTAAAAGCTATCTTAAACTAAATATGCAGGTCTTTTATATCATTGAAAACAGACAAAAGAATTAACTAATCTTATCTAACAATAAGTGTAAGTAGCACGAAAAGCCACATAGCCTACGAGATATTTTTGATAATTATTATATACAGATTATTTTTATCGAAAACAAAACACATAATTCACTAAACTCATCTTTTGAAACCTTTTTAAATTATATATAAAGCATTCTAATCCGTCTTTGA